TCACCCCACATGCCTGTCTGTTGTTTGGTTGGAAGCCATAGGAATGAGTTTAGTTTCTGCCCTGAAGTGTAACCAGGGCCCATAATCTCAGGGTCTTACCAGGTTCTATCCGACCAGCAAACATGCTCTCTTTTTTTCATAAGGTTGACTTTTGTTCTCCCTTGTTCTTCCACTGTATCCAGGGTCTCCTGCATCAATCCCCCTCCCAGTCTTTGACAGTGATAGCCATACACCATCTAGTACTTCTGGTCTCATGGTTATATATGCTGGCGATCACATGGTCTACCAGTCCCTTGGACTATGTGTTTCCATGCATGTTTGGTTTTCTTCATTCTTCTTTGCTTTGTATGACAAGATACATTGATGCATTGTTGCATGTAGATGGCCGCTTGCAAGCTTTTAAGACTCAAGTCGCTAGTAGGATGTAGAATAGTGTTGTTGTGTAGTATGTTATGCCAATCGAGCTCGGTGTCCCCTGTGACCATTGTCCCAAGCCCAAAGGTCCACCTGCTTGCTCCTTCAGGGTAGCTGGCTGTAGGGGCTTGCTCTTGTCTCTCAACTGGTAGTACTCTTAGTCATCTTACAACATAGGACTGTGTCTGTGTGGTGGTGGATGGGTTCACATTTTCCCTAGGAGGTCATCGCTTCTAATTGATGGATAGCTGAATCAGGTCTCAAATTGTTAGAGTTGTGGCTAAATCTGGATTCTCACATTTCTTGTCTCACCTGACTTCTCAACTTTTATTACCTCTTCCTGTCTCCATCAGGGGGACACAGAGGGTGACAGAACTCAGTTTTTGAAAAGTAGGGGACTGACATATGAAAATTCATAATTATTGAAAGGAATATTTTCTTCAAGAGTTTCACCTGTCATATCCCAATCTCCTAGCGTTCAAGGAAATAGGACCATCTCAGGGCCTTGGATTGTTAGTTCATTTGTGCAGATCCTTGGTTCTCCCATGGCTAGGAGGGTCTAACAGAAACACTGCCATCCTGCACTGCTCCCCAGTTGTTCAGCAGTCGTCCTGTCTTCCCCCAGTGCTTTCTGTATGTTCACTATTCCACTGAGTCTTATGAAAAGAGGTGAGATTTTTCAGCAGGACATCATGAACTGAATAGGACCATCACCCTAATTTCTGATTCATTTTCTGACTGTTCTAGACCATATGGAGTGAGGGAGGAGACTGCCATTTAGCAGTGGACAGATGATTTCAGTGTGTTGCAAATCTGGGAGACAGGAAGCAATCAATGAGGAAGTGAATGGAGTTAGCGAAGGGATGAGGTTGATGGCTGTGCTTTATACTTTACCTTTTAGAAAACAGGATGTTGTTTCAAGTCCCTATGAACACTCAATTCTCTGTGAGCCTCACTCTTTTCTCTTGTGCACAGTGGAGTCCTTGGTACCTTGCTGATGCAGAATGTGTGGCTTGTTTTAGGACTCAGTGGTCATGGAGGATGTGGCTGTGGTCTTTACCCAGGAAGAGTGGGCTTTGCTGGATCTTCCTCAGAGGAAACTCTATGGAGACGTCATGAAGGAAACCTTGAGAAACCTGGCCTCCGTGTGTAAGAATGGCATCTTTTTATTATTATTATTATTCCTTTAGTGAACAAAATTATTTTAGTCATTGACTTTGAGTATTTGGATTCAGGAATGAGAGCAAATTTTTGAGTAAAACAGGTATGGTTCCTTGGTCTATGAAGCTCAAATATCCTGGCTTCCCCATGAACTTATAAACCAGCCCCCCCCCCCAAAAAAAAGAAAAAAAGAACCCACTGTCATTGAGTTGGGTCCACCTCACAGTATTCCCCCATTGAGTTTCCAAGGCAGTAAATCTTACAAAAGTAGATTCCCTGTCTTCCTTCTGTGGAGCAGTTGGTGGTTTTGAACTGCCAACCTTGTGGTTAGCAGTAAAATGCCTTATCCACTACACTACCAGAGCACCTTATAACTGTGCATTCCAGTGAAGGTTTAAATTTTCTTACGATTAGAAGTCCAGAAGCTGTTTCACTATTGTAATGACAAGCTTTGGCTTTAGGGTTTTCTTTGCAACACTGAGAAATTTGTTGTTGAGGACCTTATAGTGATTTTCACTATATTAATTTCAAATTTGACTAAATGACTTTCCTCTAAATGAACTCACACTGTCTATCTTCAGACACCCTGAAGGGCATAGTGTTGTCTCATGACTAGGAAATATTCCTGGCTCCTTACAGTATTCCCTCAAGAAACACATTTCTCCATGAGCATCACATCACCTCTACCCAGTTGTTTTCCCAGAAGGCAAGGAAAAAGGATCTGGGAGAAATGGAGATAGGCCTCCTCCAGGACCATGGTATTGCCAAGCACCAGGAAAGCAAGAAATGTGTGAAGGACCAGCCTTGCATGGAGAGAATTCTATTTGAATCCATTGGCCAGAGGAAAGAAGTTGGCTTTTGGTTGAGGACACACATTAATAGATACCTGAGCTTACTTTTCTGACGTGAGCTGCCCTCTCACACCTCATGTCCTGGAGACCCTTTTCCTGTTGTAATGTTACATGTGTACCGTGTCCAGTAGCTTTCTAGTTTTGTCTCCTGATAACACATACTTGTGTCAACATCCCTCTCATTCCTAATGGAAGTATTGGCTGCTAATACTTCCATTAGGTTGCTTTGCAACCACTTCCAAAGTGTTGAAAGGGTGAAAGTGGCTAAGTCTGTCTTCGTTCATAGTACCCTTTCTTTCCCTAATAATTCCTTCCTTTTTGTTTCATATTGTGATCTTCAATTTGAATGATTGGCTCAGCCTCTCGAAGCCTAACTGATGGAGAAAAGTTTTCCAGCGAAGATGCCATGGAGCAGTTAATGAAGAATAACACCTGGTCCACCATGCTGGGAGAATTCTCAAAATTGTATAGCAGTAAAGAGCGACATACCAAGCAGGGGAAACATTTGAGGTGAGATTTACTAAAATGAGAGAGAAGAATGCCTCAGGAGAAACTCTTACAGTGTTGTGGCATTAATGAACATGTGTATGCGTGTATGTCTGTATAACAGGGCTTCAGACCACTTTGTAATGGTTCAGTAACTGCTACTGTAAACCTGGGCCATGTACAAAGAGCATATCAACTGCATCAGCTCTGCATTGGATTTTGACCTGAATAGGAGATAGTCATAGGTGTTCTGCTCAAACATGGCAGCCAGCTGTGCTCATTTGAATGTGTATCACTCTCCACCATCTTCTCAGTAATCCAATGTCCCTCATCAGGCTCCTCGAGCTTTTAGTATATGTGGGAGAGATTGGATTATTGGGAGTATTGTAGAGAATCACACACATTCAGAGCTGAATAGTTGTCCGGCATCTTTGAGTGTGGTTAAGCTGTTTGTTTCTTACCAAAACCAAAATAAAACCTACTGCCATTGAATTGATTGTGGTTCAGGGTGACCCCCATTGAATTGCTGAGGTGGTAAGTCTTTACAGAAGAAAATTGCCCAGTCTTCCTTCTGCACTGTGCCTGATGTGTTTGAACCGCCAACCTTCTGGTTAGCAGTCAAGTGCCTTAGGCACTGCAACACCGGGCCTCCTTGTTTCTTTCCTACTTGAGTCAAAATCTGAAAGGTAAAAGATTTGGTTACTATGCAATGTACAACCTGCCTTTGCTTATTTTGGCAAATGCAGAACCATTATGAATCTATTTGAATCACTGATACGTATTAATCTATACATACATATGTGTATATTTTAACTGGCTGTGAAGTTATGGGTTCACAAAATTTTCACAGTACAACATTTTCATAATTTATGTCAGATTTCTAGTCTTTGAAACATATTTGATTTGGACACAATGATCAGAAAACCTCCTATTTTATGAAAACAATGAACATAATGGTATTATTTCTGATAAAATATTTAAGCTACAAAACATTAGACAAGTCGGGGCAAAAACTGTACATTCACTGTGTTAGGTGATGGTGAAATGGGATCCAGTTTTTTTCCAACAGCCTGTTCCCCTATTTTTAACAGAAGTCACACAGTAGAGAGCCTCTGTGAAAGTCATGAAGGTGGTCTGTGTGGGACAATTTCTAGCCATATTCCAAATCTCCCTTTATCAAGAAACCCTCCAAAAGTAAATCCTTTTGAGTGCTGTGAGTGTGGAAAAGCCTTCGTCGATCACTCATCACATGAGCATCCTGCCCGATCTCCCACTGGATCTAATTCCTGTCACTGTAAGGAAGGCGAAGAAGCTTGCCGTTGTTCCTCTCACCTAACCACTCCTATAAGAACTCTTCATGGAACGAAGCCTCATAGATGTAAGAAATATAAGAAGGACTTGATTTGTATGTCAACTATTAAGGATCCTATCACGACACACACTGGTGAGGAGCACCATGAATATAATGAATTTAGCAAAGATTCCTGTAGTTTGTCATCCTTTTGGACACATGTGAGAGGTCATGAGCGTGAATGGAAAGCACATTGTAAAAGCTCTAGTCATCCTTCGTCCATCATTTCACCTAAAAAATTTCATAACAGAGATAAGGATTTTGTATGTAAAGAAAGTGGGAGAGCTTTTTATTTTCCTTCATTCCTGGCCAGACATATGAGAACTCACAGTGCAGAGAGGATTTATGAATGTACACAATGTGGGAAAGCCTTTAGGTGTGCCTCAAATCTCATTATGCATGAAAGAATTCATAGTAGACAGAGGCCTTATAAATGTCAGGAATGTGGGAAAGCCTTTAGTCGTTCTTCTTATCTCAGTAAACATAGAAATACTCATAGGGGAGAGAGGCCCTATATATGTAAAGAATGTGGGAAAGCCTTTAGTTATTCTACTCACCTCAGTAAACATACCAATACTCATAATGGAGAGAGATCCTATGTATGTAAAGAATGTGGGAAAACTTTTAGTTATTCCCATCATCTCTCTAATCACATGAGAACTCACAGTGGAGAGAGGCCCTTTGAATGTAAGGAATGTGGGAAAGCCTTTAGTCATGACTCATCTCTTACTACACATATGCGAACTCATAGTGGAGAGAAGCCTTATCAGTGTAAGGAATGTGGGAAAGCCTTTACTTCATCCTCATCCCTTAGAGTACATGTGAGAACTCATAGTGGGGAGAGGCCTTATGAATGTAAAGAATGTGGGAAAGCTTTTATTAATGCCTCATCCCTTACTACCCATAGAAGAACTCACAGTGGAGAGAGGCCTTATGAATGTAAGGAATGTGCAAAAGTCTTTATTAGTTCCTCATCCCTTACTAAGCATAGAAGAACTCACAGTGGAGAGAGGCCATATGAATGTAAGGAATGTGGGAAAACCTTTAGTCAGGCCTCATCTGTCACCTCACATATGCAAACTCATGTTGGAGAGACGCCTTATGAATGTAAGCAATGTGAGAAAACCTTTAATCAGACCTCATCTCTCATTGCACATAGAAGAACTCAAAGTGGAGAGAGGCCTTATGAATGTAAGGAATGTGGAAAAGATTTCAGTCAGGCCTCACATCTCAATATCCATATAAGATCTCACAGAGGAAAGAGGCCCTATGACTGTAAGCAATGTGGGAAAGCTTTTAGTTGCTCCTCATCCCTCACTAAACATACGCGAACTCACAGTGGAGAGAGGCCTTACGAATGTAAGGAATGTGGGAAAGCCTTTAGTTGTTCCTCATCCCTCATCATGCATAGAAGGACTCACAGTGGAGAGAGGCCTTATGAATGTAAGGAATGTGGGAAAGCCTTTAGTTGTTCCTCATCCCTTATTATTCATACAAGGACTCACAGTGGAGAGAAACCTTATGAATGTAAGGATTGTGGGAAAGCTTTCAGTCAGGCCTCATCCCTCACTAAGCATACGCGAATCCACACTGGGGAGAGGCCTTATGAATGTAAGGAATGTGGGAAAGCCTTTACTCAGATCTCATCCCTCAATAAACATAGGCGAATTCATAGTGGGGAGAGGCCTTATCAGTGTAAAGAATGTGGGAAAGCCTTTAGTTTTTCCTCATCCCTCATGGTACATAAGCGAGCTCACAGTGAGGAGAGGCCTTATCAGTGTAAAGAGTGTGGAAAAGCCTTTTATTATTCTTCATCCCTCATTGGACATTTAAGAACTCATAGTGGAGAGAGGCCTTATGAATGTAAGGAATGTGGGAAAGCCTTTAGTAATTCCTCACTGCTCAATGTACATATAAGAATTCACAGTGGAGAGAAGCTTTATGACTGTAAGGAATGTGGGAAAACCCTTGGTTCTTCCTCATCCCTCAAAGTACATATGAGAACTCACAGTGGGGAGAGGCCTTATGAATGTAAGGAATGTGGGAAAGCCTTTAGTTCTTCCTCATCCCTCATTACACATAGAAGAATTCACAGTGGAGAGAAGCCTTATGAATGTATGCAGTGTGGGAAAGCCTTTAGTTGTTCCTCAACTCTCATTATACATAGGAGGACTCACAGTGGAGAAACGCCATATAAATGTAAGGAGTGTGAGAAAGCCTTTAGTAATTCCTCATCCCTCATTAGACATGGAAGAACTCACAGAGTAGGGAAACCTTTGAATGTAAGCAATATGTGAAAGCCTTTAGTGATTTCTGAACTCTCTCTAAACATAGAATAACTCACAATGGAGAAAGGCCTTATGAATATAAAGAATGTGGGAAAACCTATAGACAAGTTTCAAACCTAATTAGACGTGGAAGACTTAACACTGTAGAGAAGCCTTATGAGTGTAAGGAATGTGGGAAAGGAATCCTGTAGGCATTGCTCTCTGCTCAGTATACATACAAGCACTCAGTGGAGAAAGGCTCTATATATGTATGGACTGTGGAAAAACCTTCAAAAAATCTCACACCCCACTCAACATAAATTCTAGTGGACAGAGACCATGTGAATGTAAGGAATGTGGGAAAGGCTTTAGTTGTTTTTCATGCCTCATTACACATGGAAGAAATTTCATTACACATGGAAGAAGTTACAGTGAAGAGAGGCCTTGGGAATGTAAGGAATGTGAGAAAGCCTTAAGTTGTTCCTCACTGCTCACTGCATGTAAGAACTCAGGGTGGAAAGATGCCTTATGAATGTAAGGAATTCAGGAAAACCTTTAGTTGTTCCTCATCATTCACTGCACATTCAAGAACTCAGTGAAGAGAGGCTTTATGAATGTAAGGATTGTGGAAAAACCTTTAGTAATTCCTTATCCCTCACTAGACATGGGAGAACTCAGAGTGGAGAGAGTCCTTTGAATGTAACGAATATGGCAAAGGAAACTTTCAGGCATTGCTCTCAGGTCAGTAAATATACAGGTACTTAAATTGGAAAAAAGCTCTATAGATGTAAGGAATATGGGGAAACCTTTAAGCAAACTTAACACCTCAGGTATCAGAATTACTCTGAGTGGAGGGAGACCATGTGAATGCAAGGAATGTGGCAAAACTTTTAGTCATTCCAAACATAAGTCACGGTGCATACGCTTGATGAACATAAAAAATATGGGAAAGCTTTTAGGTTTTCCTCATATCTTAGGACGTGTGAAAACTCACAGTGGAGACAGGCCTTATGAAAGTAAGCAGTGTGGGAAAGGTTTTAGTCAGGCCTCAAACCTTAGTGGACATAGAAGAACACACCATACAGAGGCCTTGTGAGTGTAAGAAATGTGGGAAAGCCTTTAGGGATTCCTCACATCTTGTGTCACTTGCAAAAAAGTGTAGAGAATATTCTGTTGAAAATGGGATGTTTTAATTTACTGCTAGAATTTTGAACACCAAATTTCTGAATGTCTGCAATTAGGGAACAGATAATCTCAGTGAGAAAAAAAGCAATAACTTTTTAAAGAAAAGATCCTTGAGTCTTTGGAAAAAAGGATGGTTTCATCCTAATGGTTCACTCTATCCTCATCAGTGTTTGTTACTTCCTCAGTCCAAGCTGATTGTAACTTTCTTAAAGAAAGTCCCTGGGTATTACAAGCGAAGCTGGGAGGAATAGCCTTGAGAAAATTTGGTTTTATATTTTTTATAGTGTTTCTGTGGATGTTATTTTACATACAATTACATGCATTTCTTTCTGTTCTGCTCTGAAGTTAAGTATTTCCACCTTATAATTACTGAGGTTCTCAGAAGGTGATACTTGGAGACTGTCCAAATACTGGTTTTCACCATACATTGGCATACTAATTTTAGTATTCCTTGATATTTATTGCCTAACAATTATCATTGTGGTGTTTGCCAAATGGGATTTTGTTTTACAGTCATTTCCTGTGTATGAAATAAACTTCTACAATCGTCTTCTCCCCTTCAATTATGTATTAAATTGTTTATAATACTCCTGGCTGTCTTCAGATGATGAACAAGGTCTGTGTTTAAGTAACTTGTGTGTAATTCAAAAGTGTTACACACAGTTCCTATTTAATGTCATTTACTGAAATGTTTTCCTTTTGTATGCTATACGGGCTACTTTTTTATTATTTATTTATTTATTTATTTAAATTTTATTTTGATTTGTGTGAAGATTTACAGAGTAAATTCACTTTTCATA